GAGGAGCTGGAGGACTCCGGACTCATCTTCTCAGAACACCTTCCTTGGGGAGTTGGGGCCTGGGAGTGGTGAAGAGGATGAATGGAAAGGTCTTTGGCTATTTTTCTCGGCTTCTGCTGTGATCATGTTGATCTGGGGTAGAGGTGACTGTGCACCCAGGTCATCTCCTCCCAGATGTTTGGCCCGACAGGCAAAGGCGAGGGGTGTGCAGTGCACCCAGAAGCATTTCGAGGTGACTTTCAGCTCAGCCCTGGACAGTGGCAATAGTTCAAGCATTTGGTCAGCTTCTTCCTTGGGCGCACACATTCAGACCATCTTAGAACCACATACCACTCTGCAAGCAGAGCAGGATATTGGTTTCTTCAACTCCAATGTGTTGTGCCAAATAGAGTGTGTTAATATCCCCCTCCCATCCCCACATGAATTAGATTACTTAACGCATCTTTTTGGAGATGTCAGCAGTTTAATAGAGGCAATAAGTCAGGGCTGCCCTTGTGTTTTATTTTTCTGCCAGTATTTAGTTAATTAAAGAATGCAAATTAAAACACCTTAATTTATATAATATCAATACCAATGCCTTAAAACATTTGGCATAACTGCCCTGGCACGTCCCTTACATAAACTCTTCAGAGGAGTGCTAACAAAACTGAAAACGGTTGTAAATCAAATTTAATTTATTCATTTTTTGCCTTGGTATGAAAGCATATGCCAAAACCAAGTTATTTATGAATGCATAATAACAATAGGCAATTTTATGGTTGCAAATAGCAAACAGGTTTTGGAGGGCTGTGCATTGTGACTGTGAAACATCTATAGGTACACCTACTCTCCAGGCTCTGATCTCTACAATTTATATTTTTGGACCCCCTATCTCCAGGAAAAAATAGATTTAAATACTGCAAAACATACTGAACCCAAAGACTAGCCATACCCACTAGTGTGGTGGCCAGAAAGGCTCCTGAGCTGTCTGTGTGTAGAAACACATGCAATGTGTCCTATGTGGTATGTGAATCTTCAGATGAGATAACAGGTTGGTGATTTATATCCTGTTTCTTAAATATTCCATTAAGAAGATTATCTCAGAGGAGGCTCGGATACAGACAGCGCAGGAAGGAGTTTGGTGTGCGGCTGCTTCCTTGGAGCCTTGGAGACGGACGGCGTGTAGACGATGAAGAGTGAACGTCCATTTCCACCTTTCCTTCCTCTGTTGGGACTTCTTTGTTTGGAGATCTGAGCCTGGAGTACACAGGATTCTGTCTGGGAAGAGCAGCAGGTCCGTGCTTGGGTCCTGAGCGGTGCCTCTCCCTCCTCGTGACAAGGCACCCAGCGCCGTTGGCCCTTTTATGTCCCTTCCACACACAGCTTGTGGCTCTGCCTTTGCTCCAAGAGTGCACATGTGAGGGTTGAGAGAAGTTCTGGAAAAAGTCCATCCACCACTTCTATTGTCCCTGATCCCCTCCTGACCAACCAGAGCAAATTCTCAAATGCAACCCTCTCGCCAGCCCAGGACCTCCCTGCTTGGGAGGAGAGAAATCGGAACTAGGGGATGCCGTATTTTATTCACTGTCTTTTAATATGGTCATGACTAGCATGGCAGGAGGGCCGCTCATCACTTGGGAGGAAGGCTGTCTGTGCCGCAGGCCCTGGGCTGCCTTGGGTAGACCACTGAAAAATCCCAAATAGGGTACCTTCTGGCCGTTCCCTTTCTGACGGTGGAGTAGTGAGGATGCTTGCACAGTGGTCCCTGTGGAACTAGTGGATTCCCTCTTTGGCCTCACACTTACTGCAATTGTGAGCTGGAAATGAACATTCTTGAGTAGATGCGCCTCTTGCGGGGTGGGGTGGGTGTGGGGGTGGTGCCTCAAGCACAGCTAGAGAAAGAAGGTCCTAGAGGAGTTAACTGTCTTCTGCCTCCCCGAACCTCTCTCCACCCCGTAGTGCCCCTCTGTGTCTCAGGAAAATAGCCAGCTTGAGAAAATGGACTCCTGTACCTCACCAGGATACAGCGCCCAGCGCTCGCTGGCTGTGGCAGGTGGAGGGAGGCAGAGATTGGGGTGTGGCCGTGGCACCCCCGCACCCCCATGTGAGTGTAGGATGTGAGCAAGTCTCGCCCATTTCCCCTTGATACATGTCACCTTTAAACACCAATGGAAGCCTTTCTATTTCTTTATATCCCTCCTAGCTGCATAAAAGATTTGAGGTGGCTCACAATTCCACACGCGGATACAGTAAAACCTGAAGCCATTAGCAGAAAAGTAAAAAGATCAGAGCCAAGTACAAAGGAGGAGGGGGAGGGAGAAGGAGAGTAATTATACCAGAGGGGGGAAAACTTAGATTAAAGAAAGCTAATGCAATTGAGAACAAAACCGGGCTCCAAACTCCCTGGTAGCTTGGTGGGCGGCTGCCAGCTCCTGCAGTAAGTGCAGATTATTGCACCTCAAAGGCAGGTTTAGATGGCTGCTGAGGACTTGCTGGCCCTGTGAGCGTGGTCTGGCTACTCCAGCTCTCTGAACTTGTTTTCTCATCTGTACAATGAGGGTTGATCCACGCACCGTGGGATTCCTGGAGCAGGCCGTGATGGTGGTTCTTGCTAACCAAGTCTGCACTCTGTACCAGCTACAGTTCTGAGTGTTTTACACAGACGTAGTTCATCAATTCTAAGATGTATTTTTTTTTACATTTTATTTTATTTTATTTTTGGTACCAGGAATTGAACTCGGGTCCTTGCGCTTGGGAGGCGGGCAGTGGAACTGCTGAGCCAAGTCCCCACTCCCCCCATTTTTTAACATTTTAAACATTTCTGACGCTGATTTTAAAAAAGCACTGTGTCACAGATTATTTAGCAGCGTTTTTTCTTTCTTTGTTGGACCTAAAATAACAGTGCATTGAGGATTACAGGAACTATGTTATGAACTCGTTCAAGCCTCATAACAATTTCATAGGGCAGTTCCTATTTTCGTCCCATTTTGCAGACCAGGAGACTGAGGCAGAGAACATGTAAATGACTTTCTTGTCCAAGGGTTACAGGTGGCAAGCAGTGGAGTTGAGAGTGGGATTGTTGGCTGTTTGACCCCTCTGCCACACCGTCCTGCCCGCAACAAATCCTTCAGCAGCGAGCACTTCGGCAAAACCTGGGCACAGGTGACATAAGAGGAAAGGATACACACCCCAAAGGCTCTGACTTTCCAGGGAGAGGTCAGCATCTCAGGGTGTTCGGCTCATCAGGGGAAATACGTTCAAGTCACAGGGGCACAGCAGGGAAAGCTGATTAATTTCTTCCAAGCTTCTGGCCCTAGGCTTAGCACCGCAGTAGGAAATGCCCTTCTGGCATGTCGGGAGAGATACATGTTCTCGGATCAGACTTAGACAAAGGACAGAAAGGTACAGGTGTTCCCCTTGTGGCCTATTCTTTTTTTTCGTGGTACCAGGGATCGAACTTGGGACCTTGTGTTTGCTTGGGAGGTGAGGGAGGCAGTGGCACCACTGAGCTAAATCCCTGGCTGCCTGTTCTTGTGCAGATGTTAGAGAAAAGCCGGGCAGGACCCAAAGAAGGTGTTCTCAGGCTTGGTTTGGAAGTGACATAGAGGGAGAGGTTTATCCTCCCAAGATTAGGGTTGCAGGCTCTGTCCTGGGACACCCAAGCCAGAGGGTGGATGCCAGCGGAAGACCTGCAAGGGAGAATGAGTAAGAAAGTGCAGTTTAAAGGAACGGGCTGCTCTGGGGCCAGGGTAGGGAAACTGCTACTGAGTTCAGTCCCCAGCACACACGCACATGCACACGCACACAGACACAAATGAGGCAGTGGTCTTGGGGACCAGCAAGGGTGATGGAAGGAGGAGCCACTTTGGAGGGAGAACGCCTGAGTTGGAGACCCACTTTTGCTTTTTAGCAGCACATTATTATCCTTTGGAATATTCATTTTATTATCTGGCTAATGAGATCATAACTGCACTTACCTATCTCACAAAGTTTTTAAAACACCAGTTAAGATAATAGATGGGAGAGTGAATTAAAAAATGCTGTGCAGATGGGAGCTGCCATCACGACCCTCCTCGCTGGACACGGGTTCCCTAAGCAGTCCCTAAAGCGGTTGGATTTAGAACTCCAAGCAGCTCCTGGCTGGGGGCACTGGCCTCTCCCCTCTGACCTGCTGAGGAAGTCTGGGGGTGCTCTAGAGGGTCTCACAGACTGCGCCCCTCGAGTGGGGTCCTAGCCTGGAAGCTGAGCAGACACCATGAGAGAACTTGGGGTGCGTCTTTCCCCATGAATAAGGAGGAGGTTAGCAGCTGAGAAAGCCAGGACTTCACAAATCAAACCAGACCCAAGCGAATCTCTTTGGACAGAATTTCTATGGTGATTACTATTTCTAAAATTTCAAACAGAATAAAACCTGTATTATTAAAACAGCTTCTAGTTTAAGCCGGGCGTGGTGACACACGCCTGTAAGCCCAGAACTCAGGAGGCTGAGGCAGGAGGATCACTGTGATTTTGAGACCAGCCTGGGCTACATAGTGAGTTCCAGGTCAGTCTCAACTACATAGTGAGACCCTGTCTCAACAAAACCCCCCACCACAAAAACAGCTTCTAGTTTAAATGATAATGTGACAGAAATTCTCCTGGACCTGTGTCTGTGGTGGTCCCCTACCCCCTTCACTTGTATGGGTGCCCTCTTATCCACGGGAACACATTCTGAGGCCCCCCCCAGTCGGGCCCAAACTGTGGGTGCTCCCAGACCCTGTGCGCGCTGGGTTCTTTCCTATAGGTGGGAGAAGTTCAGTTTATAAATTAGCTCAAGAGATGAAAATGACTGATAATGAAATAGAACAATTTGAACAATATACTGTAGTAAAAGTTATTTAAAACTTAAGAGTTGTTTACTTCTGGAGTTTTCCATGTTTGATGGCCTCAAGGCCTACAGCCTGGAAGCAGGAGGGCGTGTGTCCAGGAGGACAGGAGTCAGCCTCACCTCCGCAGGCCTTTGCTCCCAGGAGGAGAGAAAGAGGGTAGGAGGGAAGGGGCCTGAGTGCCAGGAAGGGCGAAGCCAAAAGAGGAGTTTAAGAAAGGGAGAAGTAAGCGAAGGAGGAGGAAGAAGTGGGAGAGAACTGGGCCCGGCAAGGAGGAACAAAGCAGCCGTTTGTACAGGGTGGGCCTGGGACCTGCCCCACCTCCTCCTGGTCTTCAGTCTCATCTCCCGTGTGCATCACCCAGCCCTCCTCACTCCTCACCCTTTGGGAGACTTGGGGCCTTCCGAGCAGAGCCAGCCTTCCCTGGCAGCAGACAAAAGGCCATTTCTAAGTTACACAGAAAATGTGTTACTTTGCCAGAGGGCCAGGGAAGGGCTGCCGGGGCCAATCCTGGCCCACGTAGCCTGAGCCGAGGGGCCTGTCAGTCACCACGACCCCTCGTGAAAGGGGCCCCTTGTCAACTTCCCTTGCCTTTGAAGTGACTGGGATGGAGGTGCTCAATTAAAAGCCCATCAGTCTGTAAGTAAATCAACGCCTATCAGACTTGTCACATCAAACAAACGATTATTACCCCAGCCCGCCCACCCCATTAATCTGGCTGTTCCTTCTGGACGGCTCAGGGTCAGGGCAGCATAAATCCTGCACTGGACTGGAGCCACCTGGATCCGGATGAAAGCTGGGTGCGACTTCCCCGGGGCACTGGGGCATTTCCCAGAGTCCCCCGGAGGGAGGGTGAGGACAAGCTCGGGACAGAGACTGGAAGAGACGCCTAGAGGCAGAGCCACAGGAGGATGCACAGCAAAGTAGAGACGGAAAGAAATGCAGGACACAGAGAGCCAAGAGGCGGAGAGAGAGCCTGTGACAGGTGCCACAGGGACTCGGCGCGTGCCGTGGACAGCAAGGAGAGGTCTCGATGCAGTTCCTCAGACACTGGATGGGAGAGTGACCTCGGCCAGCCCCATTTCCCGAGTTCTCCTGCGGCAGCCCCCGAGTGCCCCTTCGGGGAGGGAATGGCGGTGGGAGGGGATGAAGTGCAGGCTTTGTAGAGAACACCTTGCGTTAGGCACCCGCAAGCACGACGGCCGGAACTTGATTTCTGCAAAGACGGAACGTGTCCGCACACGCAGCCAGAGCGCCAGGTCTGACAGTCTACTGAGCCAGGCCTTGGGAAGCGCAGGGCCCGGCACGGTTCTCCGAGGCTCTGTGGGTTGCTCGGAAGGTTCTTTCTGCTCCTGAGATCAAACTCTTGGCGTTCCCCCCTGCAGACCGGAGAGAGAGGTGGGAGGGGAGGTAAGGAGACAAAGCAGTCGGAACTTGTCTGGAAGGAGGGACTGGGGTAGGAGGTGAAACGGGGAAGAGGAGGCTGAGGAAGGACACCGAGCAACCTGCTCAGAAGAACAAGGTGTGCTTCTCAAGGGAAAGGAAAACAGTCCTGCCCTCCACGCACAGCTCAGGGGACTTGTGGTATTTATGTTTTAAAGGGGCCCCTATGTGTCTTCCTACTGCTAGAAATCATTCCCCAAAGAAACCTAGAGACGAGCGTGGAACAGGAAAGACTGAGGAGCCCTCCACTCACCGGACCGGGGGGTCCCACGGCCAGCCCTGCCGACTGCGGAGGACTCTCACTAGGCAAAGAAAGGCCACTCGTGAAGATTCTGGAAACATTTATATCCCCACCCTACTCACTGCAAATCCTGCAGACAGGGTATGTTAGTTTTCTGCTGTAGTGAGAAAATACTTCAGGTTATCAACGTCTAAGGGTGGAAGATTTATTTTGGATCAGTGTCTCAGAGTTTTAGTCCATGGTCACTTGGCTACATTGTGTTTGTGCCTGTGGTGAGGCAAAACATCATGGTGAAGTGTGACAGGGACAACTGTTCACTCAGTGTGGCTGGAAGGAGAGAGAGAGAGAGAGAGAGAGAGGGAGAGGGAGGGAGGGAGAGGGAGGAGCCGGGCTCCCATAGCCCCTTCAGGGCCACACCTTCAAACACCTAACTTCTTCCCACTGGGTCCCCACCCCCTAAAGGTTCCACACCTTCCCATAGCACCACAGGCTGGTGACCAAGCCTTCGCCACATGGGCCTTGGAGACATTTAAGATCGGAGCCATCACACAGGTCGTCACCACCAGCACTGCGTGTGAACCTTCCGTCCGGCCAGCTCGCCACTCCCTGGTGAACTCATCCAGTCCATCACGGAGACCCCGCAGTGCAGCAGAGTGTCCCTCGTTCCTCTGAGGTGACGGATGTCCAGTCATCCCAAGTGGCAGTGTGGCCTTTCACAGAGGCGAGGGCTCACGATGCACAGGAATTATGCGCCGTTCCTGCTTCCGTTCACTCCACCACGGTTGGGTATGTGGTGTGCACTTAGAGGCCCTTTTCTGAGTCAGGGACATGGCAGTGAATGTGGTGACCAAGGTCATAGGGTGTGTGGGAGCTTTCACAAAGAACTCCGGGCGTCTGGCTTATCTTTATTTATTCGTCATGTATTCACTCTTTATGCAGATGTTTTAAAAACACGTTTTAATGTCTAAGTAATTTGCACCGCAAAGAGGCAAAGAAGCACCAGAAACAAATCCTATCTGCCTAGAGCAGAAGTGAGGCACAGCTCCTGAATAAACCGAACGCTTGTACAGAGTGGTAGGGGCCATTGGCCGGGAAAGGAGAGCAGAGCTCCGAGTGAGAAGGTACTTCTCTGGGTACTTCTTGCTGAAGGTCCAGAATCGAGTAATGTGTTAAATATTCAGTCATGACAACTTTTAACATACTCCATAAGACGGTCCACTGTGGGCTTAGTGCTGTTGTCTTTGGCAGTAATGACAGTGTAATTCGTTGTCCTTGTCACTGTGACCACATCACAACAGCCCCTGCCCCCAGGCGGGTGTACGGATGGGGATCCATGTAGGGCTGTCAGAGGTCTGGGGTGCGGCTGAGAGCCCCGTAGGGGGAGCTGCACACCCCATAAGAGGTGCAGTGATGGCAAAGCCTGGGGAGTGAGACTGCGCTTAGAACCAAGGCTTCACCTGTTGGCTCTTCCGCTTGCCTGCTGGGAGGCCACAGGCCCACCGCTTGAACGTGTGTTTCCTGTGTGTGTTTCCCCATCTGTTCTGTCGGGCGATAACAGTCCAGGCCTCAGAGGGCAATTAGAGGCGTGTAAAGCATTCACAGCAGTGCCCAGCAGACAGACAGCATATAGTAAATAGTGCCTGTCAGAACGACTGCCCTACCTACCTCCTTCCGAGCGGCCTGTGGAAGTCACCATCAGCACGAAGCGAGGAGGGCACTGATTACACGAACACCATTGTCTTCCTGTATTTAAATACTGGCAAGAGTCATCTATATTCATTTTACTTTGAAATTTTTTCCGAGTTCAGTACATTGGCTGCAAACATCTGAACAATTTGTTTTTACTCAGATAATGTGTTCATCAGCCTTTCGTGTAATATTTGATACCTTCAAAAAGTGTATGCATCGTTTGTAAATTTAAAGCTTCTACTGGCTCTTTTTCCTCTGTGATCTCCTGATCTCTCTTCCGGAACTGGTCATTACCCTGAATTTTGTGTTTGCTGTTCCTTTTTTAAAAAATGCTATTTTTAAAAAGAAATTAACGTATATCATAAATAATAACAAAATGCACAAGCCTCAAGCGTATGGCTGTATTAATGCTTAAAAGTCTGCGTGTACATAACGCCTTAAGCCAGGCATGGAATATTACGGCTACCCCAACAGAAGCCTCCCTCCTCCCCTGCCCAGTCGGTTTTCCTCGTCTCCCTCCCCAAGGTGACCACTGTCTGACTCCTGTCACCACAGATTAGTTTTGGACTTAAGAATGTAGTCTCATGTCTGGTTCCTTTCAGTTTTCCCCCTGCGAGACTCAACCTGTGTCACATGTATTCAGAGTTCTTTGTTTTTCCCGGTTGGGTGGATGTTCTATTATATAAATACACCACTCACTCTACCGTCACTGGGCATGCGTGGCATCCTCTTTCTGGCTATTATAAACAGAACTACTGTGAGCTCTCCACCTCCTGAGGTGCATATATGTGCTTGTTTTTGTTGGGTACAACAGTCATGATTGTTAGGTGAATAGGTGCCATAGATGCTTCTACACAAGTTTGGACCTGCCCTAATAGGTATGTACACGTTGTAAAATATACTTTACAAAAATGTGTGTCTCTATATATGTACACACACATACATACACTGCAAAATTTCTCTTCTATTCGGCAACTTACTTTTACTTTTTATTAATGGTATTTTTTGATGGTCGTCTAGAAGCTTGATATTTTAATTTTTTTTACTTTGGCCCACAGTTATTTAGAAAAGCGTTATTATTTAATTTGTAAATATCTGAAGATTTCTTGGTTATCTTTATTCTGGACTTCCTGCTTAATTTCACCATTATCAGAAAATATACTCTGAATTATTTCAATCTTTTAAAATCTGCTTACATATAGTTGAATCTCCATCCGTACTTGTATATTTTTTCTCCTTTAGTCCTCCATGTTTTTGTTTTATATATTTTTGAGACAAGGTTATTCTGTGAATACAAATCTAGAATTGCTGTATTTTTTTACACGATCCATTCCCCTCTCGTTAGGAAATACCGTTCAGTGGAGTGGCTTGTGTTTCAGGTTTACTCTGACCCTGTGTAGTCACACCAGCTTTTTTTTTTGATTGACCCTTGCTTGGTGTGTCTTTTCCTGTCCTTTTGCTTTCAAGTGTTTCCAGTTCACTGTTGCTGCATAACAACCGCCCCCTCAAGATAGAGGTACAAGTCCACAACCGTTTTGCTGTGCTCTGGGGTTTTGTGGGCAGAAGTGCGGACCGAGCAGAGTAGGGATGCTTACTAAGGCTTCCCGCTGTCTGCAGTCTGGGGGCTTTAAACCCCACCCTCCGACTCCCAGGCCTACTGAGCCTCTGCAGGTCTGCCTGCTGCTTCGCCTCCAGCCCCTGTTGTCCCACACTGTGCCATGACGAGCGACCTCAAGGGAAAGTCTGAGCCAAACAGGTTGCTTACCTCGTTTCCGTTCTCTATGTGCTCCTGGTCCTACAGTCCTGCCAGGCTTGGTCGCTCGTGGATGCTTTTACATCATTGTTTTGTGCATTTAATCCTAGCATTAATATTGTTATCAGTGGAAGTGTTTGCCTGGTATTCTTTTACTTAAAAACAATTTTATTGGCTGGGAGGGTAGCTCAGTGGTAGAGTACTTGCTGAGCGTGTGAAAACCTCAGCACCATTAAAACAAGCCAGTTTTATCACTTGTGCATGTTCATATAAGCAATTTATTTGCTTCTGAGATTTATACAAAAAAGTATCATCTTGTAGTAGTTTCATATTGTTATAAAACAAATTAACACACTTGGTGGCTTAAGACAATAGATATTTACTATCTCACAACTTTCAGTGGATCATGAATTTGGAACTGGCTTAGCTATATGGCTCTGGCTTGGGATCCTCCCTGAACCCGAAGTCAGGATATTGGTACGTTACCCGAAGGCTGCACTGGGCCCGGGCGGTCTGCGAAGGTGGCTCGTGTCCACGGCTAAGTGCCCGTTGGTTATCAGCAGGAAGGCTAAGTTCCTCCCTGTGTGGGTTTCTCCACCGGCTGCTATAATGTCCTTCTGACTGATGACTGGCTTCCTAGGATAAAGAACACAATCAGTAAGGTGGAAGTGGCAATAACTTTTCATTTATTCTTGAAGTCACATATGGTAATTTTTGCCATGTTCATTGTAAGTGAGTGACTAAACCTGGGTATCGTTCAACAACAGGGAAATTAGCCTCCACATCTGGAAGGGTGGGGTGTCAAAGAATTTACAAGCATTTTTTGAATTGGCGCATATTGGTAGGTGGGTTTCTGGGATTTGCTTTTTCACCCAAAATTGTATTTCTGAGCTTCACATCTATTGTTGCTAGTAGCTGAAAACCGTCTTATTTTTTTTACTTCATAATATTTCACAGTGAGAGTAGACTACGGTTTATTTTTCCCATTGTCTTGTTGGTGATCATATGTTGATGGTTTGTTAGAATCTTTTTTTGAGAAGTGATGCATCTTAGGTTTTTTGAAAGCACATTTCAAATGATTAATTCTGTAGTTATTTTGAGCGTAGAAAGCAAGCCAGTGCATTTTGTTTGGGCCACACTAGCAATGCACCTCCTCAGTGGTGTAAGGTACGAGAATGTGGTATGGATTATGAATACTATGTCTCTCATATGACTTTATTCTATACCCCCAAAGAAGACCATTAAAGTTCCAGTGTTAGGGCCAGGGATGTAGCTCACCGGTGCTGTGCCTGCCTGGCAAGTGCAAGGTCCTGAGTTCCGTCCCTAGTCCCCCACCCACCCCAAATTCTAGTGCTATTTATTTGCAGTTGCCTTGGTCACGTGGGTAAATCGCTGGCCTCACACTGGGAACACAAAAGTCAGGAGCTGAACAAGGTTAGCCGATGCCCTGGAGAATATGAAAGAGGGGCAACATGAGAAGACCAGGTCTGTTGGTCCTTCCTGCAAGACCATGGATGAGATCGGAATGAAACACAGGAAGTGGGTGCCTGTGTGTGCTTCCAGGCTCCTGGGGAACAGTTCCAGCCCCAAAGCCCACGTCTGTCATGAGGAAGCCTTGAGATAGTTATCCAGCGTGGTTAATACGCCTGGCTGTGCACCAGCAGCAGAAGCAGTAGAGGAAGTAGAAAGGATAAAATCTGAGCTCAGATCGTCCTGTATTTCAGTTGTGACCTTCACACTTCGTACAGTTTTACAGTGGGTAACTTAGGTACCTTCTTTCATCTTCAGCTTTCTCAGCTTCACAACGGTAATATCATGCTAATATCTTCCTTCTATGCCAGATTGCATTAAAGATGCCTAGGATAGACAGAGTCTGGCAATATTCGATGTTTAATAAAAGACAGCTTGGAGGCTGAAGTGGTGGCACATGCTTCTAATTCCAGCTGCTCAGGAGGCTGAGGCAGGAGGATCACAGTTTGAGCCTAGCTTGGGTAATTTAGCGAGGCCCTGTTTCAAAATAAAAAAATAAAAATGGCTGTGGATATAGCTATATCCATCTCTCTATATCTCACTGTGAGGCTCTGGGTTCAATCTCCAACAGTGTTAAAAGATAAAGAATAAAAATAAAAGGAAGACAGCACTGTTTCAACCATTTCATTATCGTTACCGTTGTCATCACCATGGTCACCATCACCAAATTGGAGAGGTTTGGCTGTGAGTATTGCTCTGGGCTTCTCTGGAGGTCTTGCATCTTCGCTCTCTCTGATTCTGTGTGCAAGTTTGCGTCCCTGCACCAATTAAGGTGTTGCAAGGCTCGGCCATTGCCTTAAGGCCTTTTCCTCAGATAGGCAAGGGCTGGGCTTCTCCCCAGTCAGGACTAGAGTGGTTGGGTTAGGCCAGGCCTGTGCAACACAGGGTCACACACCCGACGTCCCACGTACTGAGGTAGGATACACAGTGCTCCTGTACCAGGGAAACCCACGCAGAGCAGCAGACTTTCCTCAGGGCCACAGGGCTCAAAGCTGTCACTGGATTCTTAAACGCACCGATAGACGACGCATGCACAGGCTGAAAGGAGACCAGTTAGGGAGCCCGTCGGGTCCTAGGGAGATGAGTTAACGAGGAAGCATCAGCTTGGGTTTTGTTCCAGTCCAAGTGAGAAGGTCCACAGGGCCAGGATCGGATCAATCAGTGTCTTACCTGGTTCTTGTTCATTTGTTGGTTAATTTACCTGTTAAATGGTTACATAATGTATCAGTATGCAGTGTAAGGTGCTTTGAGTGTCTATGTATCTGTCTATAGCTGGGGGAGGCAGCACCTAACACAGTACTTCTGGGACATGGGAGATGCGCCATAACGTTTCCTAAGTAACCTTATGTACATATGAGACATAATATATACATAGCCCCCACATGCAAGGACTCTTGACACATGGCTCCTTTACATGGTGTGTGTATATATCTATATAGATGTATATTGATGCACTCTCTATAGAGATATCTTCGATCTATTTCTCTCTATCTATCTATACATATATAGATGAAAGCAGAAGGGATACAGTGGTGAGGTCATCAGGTCATAGGAGATGGGTCAATTAGAAGTTACGGGCATCTAGAAATGGGGAGAACGTCACCGGCAGCTAGAACGTGGGGCCTCTTCCGCTCTCAGCCTGCTCCTTTCGGTCTGCCACGCTACTCACCCCAAACACCCATTTCAGTGCATCCTGCCCCTTTTCTAAGTTTTAAAATGATTTGCTATTGCCAGTGGCACTGATTCCAAGGTTCCTTCCAGAGGGCTCTGTTATCTCTCCCTCCACACTCTTCCTTTCTTCCTTTTCCTAGGGTGGGGGTAGGGATGTGGCTGGGGGAGGGGGTGGAGTTTGTAGACTGCCTGCTCTGCTTTCAGACTTTCTCATGTTTTGTGGTTTGGAGCCCTTTGAAGGGTGTTCCCTTGAGGATGCAATGTGTGGGAATCTTTTTCCTGTTTATGTTTGAGTGTGTAGGCTTGTCTATGGGGCAGTCCTGTTCTTGCCTCTGCCTGGGGCCTCTGGATTTTTGCACGGAGGAACAACGTGAATTAGCGGTTTTACCTGGAGAGGTGAGGGACTTCCACATGTGGGCTTTGAGTTATATTCGAGCTGATGAACAGAGTATTCAAATTTCTGGTACTGGTGAGCTTATTCTTTACCGGCTTTTGGTTTCTTGCAGAGAACATAGCTTGTATGGGCCTGTGACCTTGGTTTGGCAGTAAACTCCAGCCCCTGGGGCTTGACTATTACTCATACACTCTAGTCTTGAGGCTGTATGCAGATGATTTCCTAAATCTGTATCTCTAGTCCTACTCAAATTCCAGAGTATAGTCTCTTGTTATAATTTGTTTCTTAAGTGCTCCCCAGATCTCACGTGTAGAAGGCTTGGTCCCCGCTGATGGCAGTATTCGGAGGCGATTGAAAAAAACTAGGAGGTTGAAGCTAATTAGGGTTGGAGGAAACAGATCACTGGGGATGTGCCCTGGTACTCGTGTCTGTCCTCCTGTCCCTGTCTCTGTCTCTGTTTTCTTCTGTCTGTCTGCCTATCTCTGTCTTCCTGTCTCACTCCTTCCTTTACCCCCTTTCCTCAGTCTCTTTCTTTCCCAGTACCATGAGGTAAGCAGTTCTGCATTGATCGCGACCGTGATATTCTCAGGCCTGAAAGCAAGGGAGCCAAACAACTATGGACTGAAACCGCTGAAACCGTGAGCCCCAATACATGTTTCTTCTTTGTAAGCTCTTTGTCGCTGGTATTTTATCACAATGACAGAAAGCTGACTAATACAGCTACTATATCCAACTGCCTGCCTGCTGACTTTCTATTTGGGTTCCTCATGACCATCTCAGACTTAACACAGTCACAGCAGAGCTACTGATTGGTGTGCAGATTTGTATGTTGAACACACTGGCACGTCATGCATGTGAATAAACACTCGGGGTACCTGTAGAGGTAAGTGATACTAATCACTTTCATGGTCATTATCTCCTTTTTACCGTCCTCTCTGTATATATTACAGCTACATAGATCTGCACACCACCCAGAGAGAGTACAGTTACCTTGGTGAACCAAAGTATGCTTTTCTTCAAACATTCCAGCAATCTCAAGATTTACAAGAGAGTGCTTTTTGGATAGCAGAAATCCTAACACTGAGTTTCTCCTGCTTCATGCCTGGACTCCATTTCCTTTTCCTTTCTGGTATGTTCTGGCTCTGCTTCACTTATGATGAAAGAGGAAGCAACTTTTACAGTTTCCCCCTTAATCTAGAGTTTCGGAAAATGTGGTCCCCTATCTGTGTTGCAATCACTTGGGGTACTTGTGAGTAGCAGTGATTCTTGGAGTCTTCCAAGCTAAACTTTCTGGGAATAGGATCTGGAAATACATCTTTATAACAAGTTCCTCAGGTTATTCTTAAGTGCATTGTGGTTGGAGAACCACTGCCCAAACCTCACTTTTTTTTGTAACTCACCTAAAATATTAATGGGGAGCTACCACATCAGACATCCCAGAAAAGAGGGAGCTGGAGGTGTTATTCAGCTTTCTGTCACTATGACAAAATATCTGAGATAATCATTTAGAAGAGAAAAGAATTATTTTGGATTCTGGTTTCAGGCCATGACAGATGGCCCTGCTGCTTTGGGCCTGTGGCAAGACAGCTCATAGCAGTAGAAATGCATGTTTGGACGAAACTACTTATCTCATTGCAGGGAGCAAAGACAGAAAGGAAGAGACCAGGGCTCCAGTTTTAGCCACTTTCCTCGTTGCTGGGACAAAATACTTATACCCACAATTTAAAGGAGGAGAGGTATGGTTTGGCTAGTAGTTCCAGTAGTTTCAGCCCACGTTTGGCAGGCTCAAACACAGAAATGGCAAGGTGGACGGGCTTGAGGAGAGCTGCTCACATCACGGTGACCAAGAAGCGGACAGCGAAGGGAGAAGCCAGGGAGGAACACGCCCTTGTAAGACAGGTCCCCAGTGACCTGGCTCTTCCGACTGATCCTGCTTCCTAACAGCCACCCAGCTATATCACCCCACAATTTGATCACCTTCCAAAAGCCGTCTACGAGCACATGGAGCTCTTGGGTGACATCTAGATAGAAAGCACAAGAG